GCCGAGGTGTGATGTTGGCCTGGTGATCAAATGGAGTGCCGGTGATTTCTGACAAAAACTAAGTGAAAATACCCTTATCTAGTAAGTTTAGCCCTTTGAATAAATACCCTGTTATCCTGCAAGTTTCTCCTGCTAATGCAACATACCCTAAGCCTGAAAGTTACCCCCACTGCGGAAACTTACCTTCCCCTGGCTGGTTTGGCCCACTGGAAAAACATACCCTTACCTGGCAAGTTTGTCCTTCGGGAGAAAAGTATACCCTCATCTTGCCCGTTCACCAGTCCAGAAAAAAAAAAAACTCTTAGCCTGCAAGTTTATCACTTTTGGCGAATCACATCCTTATCCCGCAAGTTTCTCCTACTATAAAAAGATATCCTTAGCCTGAAAGTTGTTCCCGCTGCATACACGCACCCTTGCCCGGCGAGCTTTTTTAGCGAGGAAAAAATACCCTTAACCTCCAAGAGCCACCAACACTACGCAACCCTAAATTTGCTCAACAAGATAGGGTATTCTAACTCCCAAGAGGTTCTTGCAATCAAGTGGCTATGATTCTATATTCTACTAATTAAGCAAGTCACGGTTTGACTCATTGACAATTTCTAGAAAGTTTAGCTCGGCAACCTTGCGCCACTGTGCCCGCCACCATAAACCGTGGATTGTATGTCCCTACTCTTCAATTCTCGGTTTCCCATTCTGACCTCTTACATCAGCACCCAGCACGTACAAGTTCGATGTTGAACACACTGAGCACGTTGCAAACGTCGACCTTGATATGAATATCAATCATCACCATCCCACTGTTTCCACCCCTCTGTTGTCCCAGGATGTCATCCTTGCTGAAGTAATGACCTTCTCAGAACACTCCTATAGCTCCTTACGTCCCTCTCACTGCTGCTAGAAATACACATGCAGCGAAGATGAACCCCACACCAAACGCACCGCCAACCGACCTCCCTTTAGGAGCCAATATCCTGCAGGCAGGATGGCGGTTTAGCAGAGACATGATATCCATTTTTGGCGTTTAGGTGTTACGTTTCATATCTCACATTGTTGCCCTAGAGTATCGGATATCAGGATTGGTTTCATTTACATTTCATCCTTCTACGCATCTGGTTCCCTGTTGGAGGTTCATGAGAGTTCTGGTTTGGAGCATGAAGGATCATGGTGCGTTAGAATAGCGTGGTTCGTTTAGCATAATTATGTTTGTTTAGAGTTCCAGAGATCTTGCTTTGGAGATATATATCTCCCGTTCCGTCCTTAGCTCCATCGTCATCATCGATCCTTGATTCTTCCCCGTCCTTCCTCAAGTTCCCCCGTCTTGAGCCCATCATTCGTGCCCTTGTGTTTCTTCCTTCATTCGTGTCCCCTATCCAACTTCACACCCAACGCACTTCGGCAGCTTTCATAGAGTGTGCCAGGAATTACCCTTAACAGCGCCAACAGTCCTCTGCTTTAAAATCCTCCCCCCAAACTCCCCATCCTGCCATCCCATCACCACAGCTTGAACAACAAGCGCTGCCGTTGCATCAGCCGCATTCTGGGTTTTGATTGGGTACGACGAAAGAGCGATTGTAAAGTGACGATAAAGACAAGATAAGAGAGCGACGATACTGATAAGTGAAAGACTGGTTGATTCGCATAAAGCAACAAGGGAAGACATTGTGCTTTTATCCTAGGAAGATAATAAGACAATAAAGACGACAAGAAAGTCTTTTCCTCCACATGATATAGGCTACTGATAGTCGGTAACAGGAGTGTCCTAGATGTTGTTGATGAGACTAAATAGAAACAAGAACTAATGCAGGATAGAGAAGTAAAATAGTAACAGAATCAACGGCTACACCTACAGGTTTCAACACTGGGTGTACGGGGACAGCGCAGACATAACGGGCGCTGATTCTAATGTACTCGGTTACGCTATCCGTGGGTTTCCAGGATCCCAGTCTGCAATTGGGAAATCTGAATCCAGCCCCCCAATCCCCCCTATCCCAAAAAGGATAGATTACCGCCCTCAGGCAGCCAGCCCCTCTTGTCCAAATTCCGTTGTTGTCTTTCCAGAACGCACGAATCGCGCGTGTTCCCAGAAACGAAACACGGTAAAATAGGCCAAAGATACCGTAACTGAGCCCGAGATATTCAGCGAGGAAATCTAGCTTACCTCGCCGTGAGTGCAGAAATCCTCTACTCGTATTACTGCTTTGGAAGGACTATCAGCCAAACTTAACCTAATCAGAGCAATGGAATAGTAGCGGTTAGGGGGCCAAAGGGCATTTTTCTCGCTTAAGTTATGGCGTACTGTGGCCAGCTCATCCACATGTATTTAATCACCATCGTAGGTAAGGCCTTCAATCGATAGTGTTTCTTTATCCTGAGCGGCTTGTACAACATAATAGAGATTCCGCGTATGGTGGTCCAACCCATTGCTTGACAGCCAACGAAACGAGACCAACAGATCCAGATGTAGTGTTTAGATTTGATCCCACCGGGCAGCCATCTATAATATATACTTCCTCTTGGGCACAGAGGGAGATAAGTTATCACTGAACCCACCCCACCACAGCGGTAACCTATGACCAGATGCGAGGCCTAAATGCTTGGTGCCGGGTTTCGTTGCCCACTTTAAGCCACACATGTTATACACCCCACTAGAAACACTTGAACTTCTCATCCTTCCTACAACGACAACCACAAACGATCTAAAATTGTTCCCCTATGATAGAAGTAACCTTGGACCTTCCCCTGACCCTGCCCCCCAACCTATCTACTCTGAACTTTGGGCTAGCTCCCGCCAGCCATGGCCCCTGCGGCAAAAAAACTGTGGGTAAAATGATGACTGGATGCAGCAAGCGGGGACATTAAGAAGTGAATGGCGGTGCAGACCCGAATCTTCTCCGGGAAGTGGCTCTCTCCCCACCCCCTAAAGAGAGAGTAGTTCCGGTACTTACGGGCCAAGGTGGGGGGCTCCCTAGCTTGTGCTCAAAAGATTGTAGGACCTTTTTAGGAATCATAGTACCCTGGTGGATAGTGAGGTTAGTAAAGAGACCTTTTTTTAGAGATATGGGTTGCTTCTGCCTTTCTTTCTCTTTTTCTGAGGTCCTCTTAGGTTAGCTGATGGGTCAGTTTCAAGCACCATTGTTATTCAGTGGTGGTCGAAAAAGGGAGGGTATGGAGAGCCAGGTGGACGCCTTTTGGGGTGGATCACAGGTGGATTGAAGATGGATTGATGGGGGGCTCGAGAGAATAGTCCTTCGGCGAGGCTGCGTGCGATGCGTGGTAACTATCATAGTTTTCCCTACCTCTGATTTCTCGCGATTTCTATCACATAGGTGGAGGTGAGGTATTTTACCCATGTTTCTGAAGGCCGTTGGGTCAGCATCCACAGTGACTTTAGGGTAGTCAGAGGGATTTTCCGGGGAGAAGATGTACGAGATGACCTGACAATACTGAATTGACATGTATCGAGACGATGGCTACCAGGTAGCATCTATATTGATGGAATGTTCTCTGACACAACATCCAACGTTCCTAGCTCCCGGCTAGAACATAACATAGTTTATTGACCTCTAAAGGCATAATACTGTGGAAAACCAATTTCAGAATTCCCATTCCAACTCCTGTGTTGCTCGCCTTCTGTGCTTCATCCCATCCTAGCATTGATATGGATATGTGTTCTAGGTCTAGGGCCTTGGTCAGTTTCTCAAGCCGGCTGCTTCTGCGATGGACTTTCATCTCTCTATGGACCATATTGACTTTCAATGACACCGACAGGGCCCTAGTGACATGTTGTATCAGCAATTGTAATCCATGCTGATTGCTTGCTCTTTCAATAATCCTTAGTATATCCTAGATCCCCAAGAAACTTCCTGGAATACTGCTTATGATATCTATCAACAGCCCATCATTAATTTGTGTGGGAATGCAGTCATAGTCCGCAGGTCTTTCTGTTTTATTTTGGAAATATTTTTCCATGCCAGCCACGCTTACTCATCCTAAATGGCGATATGCGGTAGTTCTCCACCCAAACAATTCACGAGATCCCTCAGCACTAGAGTCTCCCAACAACTTGAAAAGAGTTCTTCCTACTCTGATTGTTTTTCACGCCCATACCCATGTTGACAACATAGCAGGCCATGGGGTATAGTACCCAGTGCAACTTTACAGTAAGAATGGTGCCTCGCTTATGCCCCCCGTAAGTGGACCGAGGTTTAGTGTTCTGTACTCACCACTTCCTGGAAGTACAGTATAAACAGGCACGGCGGTCACAGGACGCAAGGTATTTGCCTTGACTTTGAGATCAGACTGTCAGGGGAGGTATCCTTTGGTTCAGTCCTATAAAAATCTACCAACAAGGTCCATCACACCTTTCATCCCCGGAAACTACCTACTGTTACCCTTCACATTCAGCGCAGCGGAAGACAGTATATCTGCACCCTACCAGTTTGACCCTGCAGAAAAAGAATCATCTTAGCCCGTAAGCTTCTCCCTTTCCGACAACCATACCCTCAAGTCATCCTTGCTAAACCGTGAATACCGTTGGCCCAAAGGTTGCACCGACTCCCGACACGTACCCTTACCCGGCTCTTTTCTCCTGCAAAAAAAGATTACTTCGTCCGCGACAAACCACCGGACCACAGAACCCCAAACCTGCTCCACGAGGTAAGATAATCCAACTTCCAAGACCTCATTTTAGTCAAGGGGAAGTGCCATACCGCATTTGGTTAATCATGCAAGTCACAGGCTAGCTCTTTGGCTATCCGTACAAAGTTGAATACGGCAAGCTGCCATACTGCGCCCGTCTATATAAACCATGGATTGTACCTACCAATAATTCCGTGCTTCTTTTCGCAAGCTAACTGCCTAAATCAGCACCCCGTACCTACAAGTTCAAAGTTGCCCACAGCGAACATATCGAGAACGCGGACCACCACGGTGGTAGAAATCCACCACATCCACCAATTTCGGCCACCCCACCGCCTGGCAATACTATCCTGCCCGTAGGAATGACGTCTACACCAAGCTGGGCTGTGTTTTCCCGCCCTCCCATCTCGTCCATGGAGGCCAATCTTTACTATTATGGCCTATACTCGAGGCCAGTCCTGGTTGCGCGTACTAGTACAACTCTCTGGAAGCCCCCTGTCTGTCCCCCAGGCTACCCATCTATCAAATGGGTTCGCACGGTCGGCAATCACCCCCTTGGTAACATCTGGGAGGGCAATCTGGCGCTGCAGATCCACAAAATCCTTGAGTCCCGGGGGGTGAAGTGGACAAGTACGGATGTGGCCCGCATAGGATTGGTAGAAGAATTTCTCCCGCCGGTAATCGTTTGGATTGGTGTGCAGCCTGGCACTGTTTCCAGAGAAGATGGCCATGCTGTTGCTATGGCGTGCAAGGGTCTTCTTGTCGAAAATCAAATCTACAATGTTGAAGTCGAGATCCGTGAGTCGGTTGTAACTCAATATTCGGGCCCGAAGTTTTTGAAGCCCGCTCCACCACCCGACCCCACTGCCGAGCTCCGTGAACCTCTTACTTCTGCTCTGGGCCTTTCGATCTGTAGTACCCGTACCCTCTGGGCGGAGGGAACCGGAGGTTTTTATTTAACAGATACTAACTTGAAGCTCTATCTTGTAACTGCACGTCATGTTGTTATCCCATCGGACTCCGACAACAAGGTACAGGCGGACAAGTTCCCTAGTCAGCGTTTGAATAAAATTGCACTATTCAGCCCCGCCAGCTTCGCAGATTATCTCAAACGTATCGGAATTGCTATCCGTCGCAAGGAATCTATCGTGAAGTGTGTGAAGAGATTTCGCCACGAGGCTTTTGAACGACTTAGACCTGGCGAAACGAACTCGGAGGAGGCTATCCTGCAACAGACATATCAAGACAATACCCTAAAGGCGGCTGGGAATGAAATTGAGGCCCTTGGGGGTCTGCGTGAGGAGGTTGCTAAGACCTGGAGCGATCTTGACAACCGTATTATTGGACACCTTAGTTTCTCACCAGTTTTGAAATACGGAGCCGGTGAAGAGGGGTATACCCAGGACTTTGCTCTCATCGAGATTGACCAATCCAAGATTGAAATTGGAAGCTTCACTGGTAATGCGATTGATCTTGGTACCATGCTAGTACCAAACCAATTCACACGCATGATGTTCCCACATCCTGAAGATAGCCACTCGTTTATATATCCAATCGACCGCCTGTTCCGAATCCGGGGAACAATCCCTGACAGAGAGATGCGGGTTCCTACCATGTGCGATCAGAATCATGAACCATGTCTGATTGTCCTCAAGCGCGGCCATACTACAGGTCTCACCATCGGTTGTGCAAACCCTATATCATCTTATGTACGTTACTATGATGAGAAGGGCAAGGCTGTAACCTCGATGGAATGGGCAATTTTTAACTATGATGACAAGAGTGGGCCCTTCTCCAAGAGGGGTGACTCTGGAGCTGCAATCGTTGACTGCCAGGGACGGCTCGGGGGTCTCCTCACTGCCGGTGCAGGTCCCGCTGATCGCTGTGACATTACCTATGCCACACCAATCTCTTTTATTCTCAAAACCCTCCATGAGAACAACTACAATCTTAGTCTTCATACAACAACCATGACCACTGCCTGGCCCTCCTCCTTCTAAATTGTGGCAGGCATTGACCGGTAGGGATCCACATCGTTTTTGTTTTTGTTTCATTTTCGCACCTGACCTGTGGACCAAGACCAAAGCTAACAAGTCCAGCTAGGACACCGTGTGTACTTCCCGTTCCCTCTTCTAATAGGAACTGGATCTTAGTACTCTGGATGCTTGTGCTACTCTTTTGTAGATGTTCTCTTCTCTCTTCTATTATTGTTATCCAATTTCCTATCTATTCCAGACCCCCTTCCACGTTCACACCTAGCTCAATTATGATAGGTCTTCTTATTTTGATTTGTACCTTATAACTTGAAACCTGTGGAATATCATGGTTTTTTAAGAGAGATCGCAACCCTTCTCTCCTTGTTTTTCATCTCTTTGCTTGTTTCTTTTCCCTATCCTCCCAAATGTAGCCATGCTTCCCCCTCCCTTCCTTTTCCTCTTATGATTTCCTGTATGCCCGTAGCTATAGTCATACAGTATACAATTGAGTTTCTTACCAACCCCCTCCACTTTCTCTACTTTCTCATCCTTCTGCCCAGTAATAGAAAAAGAAATCATGGGCCCAGAGGCGTCCCCTGTCTCCTCTCTATGAACCTCTTAGATGCGTGAACGGTCCTCACAGCGCGGGCGCCATGTTCACCAACTGAATCTGTACCACGCAAAGTACACTTCGGTGTGGTTCTTCCTCCCTCGTTCTCCTACGCTTTACCACCTCGGACCCTTTGCTTGGAGTAATTAGGAGGGCCAGGGTTGCAGTTGCGAGGCATGTGGCCTGGCTGCCGATGATGGGGGGTGAGTTCGGTAAGGAGGATTCTGGTCGATACGGGGGGAGCAGTTAGGACCCAAATCCTCTGGGCAGCGCCGGAGAGGTGCGGGTTAGAGACAGTGGTGTTCGATAGGGGGGGGGGGTTACAAACCCATTGTTAGCGTTGTGAATACCAAAGCAGGAACCTGGGAGAACTTAGATGAGAGGAGCACTTTTCAGAGATCTCTGGTATGAGGCACATCGCATACACCTGCCCTACTGTCATTGGCCCTATGATTTTTATCTTGCTTTGTAGAAAGGTTATCTTTGGAATTGTCCTTCTTATAAGTTGGCTTCACTCTGATGACACTGAACTCTTCATCCTCCCCCGGGCACTTCAGAGATCCACGGCTGATTTCCTGCCGATCTTCTGAGTATTCTCGACTATCTCCTCCTCTTGTCTAATTCCAGAAACAGAAACCGTAGCCTGGGGAATGTCCCCTGCCACGCCCCTGTCAACCTCTTTGACACACAAAGGGTCTTCAAGATCATTGAGCTCTCCAGAGATTCTTGCCAGAACTAGATATGGTTTAATTTCATCAGGCGAGGGATAGCGTTTACCCCAGTGTTTACCACCACCATCATACGCAACTCGTGGCCTAATAACATGGTAACACCCTACGTGGACATCACAATTTTCATCGCTGACAAGGCCCAGGGTTTGTTGATACTACTTTAGGAAAATGCTAGCCATGCACTTTAAAAGAAATATCACGCAAAGACCCTGCCCTTCCGGAATCCCAAATGCAGAAAACGTTAGTCTGCCTGGTCGCAGATTCACCAGTGTGCTTGGGAGAGGAGTTTAGATTGCGATCAGCGCTGCCAACATGCATTGCATCCCCGTTGAATATTTTGCCCCACAGCCCAACAGTACTTTGGGAGTTGACATAGAAACAAACCTCGTTGCATGACACAACACAACATTACAGGTAATGGTGGACAGAGAAATCCACTCTAGCCCGGAACTGCTCAACATCAGACATGGTACAGAAAATCCGTGGCTAATGCACCCCATAAATAAAAGCCACTAAAATACCCTGAAATCAGAAAGAAAAAAAGGGAAAACCTGAGATACTTTAAAGAGCCACCCTGCACCGTAACTCGCTGAGCGCGACTACTCGAAGTATTGCGGACTGGCGCGTTTACAAGTGGCCTTCTACAACTGGGCTGTCGTGGTGATCTTACCCCAGAAATACCATCTCTTCAAGGGCTGATGGTGCCAAAATTGGCTACGTCGCGACCAAGCCTCAACTTGTGAAATTGATATTGTAAAAGTAATGGTGATTGTGAAGACTGAAGGCAGGAGTGGAAGAAATAAAAATATGGGATATGTAGTTTTAGATATGAGTGCACTGTATCTCTATTGCTCATCTCTTTTATCTACGGAATAAGGAAGGACTTTATATAGACAAATCATCCACCCTCCAGGTACAGTGTTCCAGCCTCGGTGAGAAAGAAACAAGAAAAAAACAGCAATGCCAAACACCCTGGGATCCTCCAGGAATCCCTCTGGTAGGTTCCAGCCAACTCCGGACTTCCGGTACCTAGATTCATACCCAATATCAACCTTCCTGCTCCCTTGCCCTCTGCAACTATTTCTTATATCGCATGGTTCCACCCATATGGAGTGTGTATGCAAGGTATATCCATTCCCTGGACTGATCAGAAATCACTAACAAATAGAGAAAAAATAAACGGACGAAGGTGTGACAAATAGAAATGGGTAAGAAAAGATATTTATCCATTGACCGCAAGTGAGGGAGATGGAATGATCTCCGGTGATTTTCAATAATTGGGTCACGGTGTTCCAGAACCAGTAAACTAGTGATACCATATGCAGTCAGATTTAAGTTATGAGTCGTTCTCCAACCTCAGCGGTGAACTGATGGTGGAAGCGCCGCCTTCTGTTATACGCTGGAGTAATCAGCAGTATTGTGGCATAGGAGTTTCTTGGGTGGCGAATTTTACACTCGGTTGCCCTTCAAGGTTCTACGCTTAATCTTGTATCATCCGCGAAATTCGTTTGTCAATATCCGTGAACCAGAAAAGTGTCAGATACTAGTTTTACCCATCCATGAGATTGATTCTGCTAATAAAATAAAGTCCACTAATCTTATTAGTTTATATTCCGCACTGTGTCGGGAAATTCGGCATTGTCAACATTCCGGAATACTATCTTGGCTACTGACCAGTAAATCCGGCATTCTTTTTTATCTCTAATTCAGGCTACAGAAAAATTGAGTTGGATAAAACCTGATGCTTCTCGAACACTGCCACACGACTGGAATTGGGTTCTAGATACCCGAGTGCCAGATGACATCTCGGAGAATTATCTTCTGCCTTGGCACTTGCAGTTCCTTTTATTGCAACTCCGCTGCTCAAAGCTCTGCTCCAGTTAGTAATCTCTTAGCCCCCGGGGGGTACAGTAAGGAACCTGGGATCACACAGTTGATTGATTTGTTTCTGGGAGAATGCGCACGAGATACCGGTATGTCTCAGGCCTCCCGACAGGAATACCTTACATTAACAAATTGAGGAATGGTGCAATTCCTGAGGCGGAGAATTCCAGAATCCTATCCCCCTCCGCTTGCTGCTGGCTCTACTCCGGGACTATTGGGACAGATCGCATAACGAGAACGCGCGCCAGGTGCACTATGGATCACCCTCAGGGTTCCTCTCCACCTTTCCTAACACAAAGTGGCTGCAGTAATACCTCTATCGAGCGTACTATAGATGACATGTAAAGGTTAGGGAAGACAGAGTCCCCTTGCACTCCGCACCCTTGGGCTAGTCTCACTTGACAACTTCTGAAAGCCACCGCCGCTGCCTTCAGGGCTCGGCTATCACCCACCCGTTCTCGTAGATAACGGCCCTCCCCCTGTCAGAGGTCCACCGGACTTGGCTCCTGTTTCCCCCCAGACACTAGGCGCGCCTGTTGACCCAGATAACCACTCTATAATTCACCCCCTGATTACTGGCGCTTCTAGCTTCTCCGGCCTATGCCTAGGAATTTTCTCTCCATCACAAGCGATACTTGAACGATGAGGCCATTGTAAGGTTTTTTCTCCCCAGAACTCAAACGTCCCTTCCGATGCGCCTTATTCTGGGTCACTCTCTAATAGTTTTATAGCAGACTAGGAAAACACTTTGGGGAAAGGACCTACCTCTGCACCAAGCCCGGCCCCACCTGGTGGTTCTCATTTCCTCCACAGAAGGTTACATACAACCACTGTGATGTAAAATATCTGGATCCGTGCTTGAGACCCCTGATTCCGGGGTGCGATTGGGTCGGAGATACCGGGATCAAGAGAAAGGATAAAATTCTCGCTCATGTGTGGAATAAACATGGGATCCGGCTTGACTGCTTCTATTTTCCACCACAGATGTTGCCAAGAGATAAAATGCCCTAAACCTAACAGTTCATTATAGGGGGCGTACGGGGAAATACAAACGTGGGGCGAAGGACCGAGGCAAGGGAGGGAGAGCTCCCAGAGATTGAGCACTGAAACAGGGATACGTCGCGGGAAACGGCGTTGAAATTGAGTTCTTTATTCTGATGGCCGAGATCCGGGCAGTTTTTTTCTATTTGCGGCTACTCGTTATCACGAGTTATCACCTGCAAGACTTACGAATACAGAATGAGGGGCTTGCGTTTGGGTTGTAGTTAAAATGGTTGTTTGAATTGCAAATCACCGGTACTCTGGGTAATGGTCCTATCGCAATTACCTATCGGGATTGCGGGGTAGTGAAGAAGTCCCTCAAGTTACTATTGGTTTCGTGTTTGTAATGCTTATGGGTTTCATTTATCAGCAGGATGGAAGGTTCTCGGTTTTCCTCTGCAAAGGCCTGTACTGATGTACTAGTAAGTCTACTCGGGAGACAACGAAATATGTAACATGTGGGAATATGGAAGAGTATGATTGGTTGACAAATGAGGGGTA